AATACATAGTCCTATCCACATACAACTAACCCTATGGTGTGATCCACGCACGCGCTCATATGATGGGCACCGAAGGACAACAACATAACCACAAGCAATTTAAATCAATCATAGCAATTCATCAACCACCGATAGGACAACGAAAATCTACTCAGACATCATAGGATGGCAACATATCATTGGATAATAATATGAAGCATAAAGCACCATGTTCAAGTAGAGGGTACAGCGAGTTAAGGGAGAGTGGACCGCTGTAGATAGAGGGGGAAGGTGATGGAGATGTTGGTGAAGATGGCGGAGGTGTTGGTAAAGATCACGGTGATGATGATGGTGGCCACGGCAGTGTTCCGGCGCCACCGGAAGAGAGGGGGAGAGGGGCCCCCCTCTTCTTCTTCTTCCTTGACCTCCTCCCTAGATGGGAGAAGGGTTTCCCCTCTGGTCCATGGTCTCCATGGCGTGGGAGGAGCGAGAGCCCCTCCAAGATTGGATCTGTCTCTCTGTCTCTCTCTGTTTCTACGTTCTGGTATTCTGCCCTTTCGCCATTTCTTATATATCCGGAGATACGTAACTCCGATTGGATTGAAACCTTCGCCCAGATTTTTCTCTGAAAATTAGCTTTCTTGCGGCCAAAGAAGAAAAAACAACCGCCTTACGAGGGGCCCATGAGGGTCAGGGGCGCGCCCCCTGCCTCGTGGCCACATCGGGCACCGTCTCGCGTTGATTCTTCCTCCCATATTTCCCAAATATTCCAAAAATATTCTCCGTCCGTTTTTATCCCGTTTGGACTCCGTTTAATATGGGTTTTCTGCGAAACATAAAACATGCAACAAACAGGAACTGGCACTGGGCACTGGATCAATATGTTAGTCCCAAAAATAATATAAAAAGTTGCAAAAAGTATATGAAAGTTGTATAATATTGGCATGAAACAATCAAAAATTATAGATACGACGGAGACGTATCACCACCCCAGCATGGGTGGAGTGGCTAGGTTTTCTTCTTGCCTCACGTCCCTTTGGAAGCGCTCTCAACCATTTGATGCAGCCAAGATCAACGAGTGACATGTGTTGGAATTATGGGTTGATGTTGAGCTACCAACACACGTCCATGTGGAGGGACTTAGCCCAACATAAACTGCAGTGCTACTTTCCATAAGATTTGTTATTACAATGGATTGTTATTCCTGAATGAGCCGCTCCACCGCAGGGTTATCTTGCAAATTAGTTCGGCTTTTAGTCTGGTCGTTTTGCCTAGCACCTGCCGCCGCATCGCCCTGCCCAACCGCATGAGCCGCTCCACCGCAGGGTACAACGCCTACGTGCCCGACACCGGCTTCACCGTGAAAGCCCGCTCCCTCATCTAACTCGTTGAACCTAGAAATTTTGGCTCCGACACCACTCCCCTGACGCCGAAGGACGTACAAGGGCGGACAAGGTCGAAACCTAGCTATCAGAGGCTGGTGAGGGCCTCCAGAACTAGATCCGTCGTGGTCACGTGTGGTGCCTCCGGTTGTCGCGATGACCTTGACTCGCTGGCCATCGTCGGCGCTCCTCCGCCTTCCTTGGATCCAGTGCGATGCACACCCTACCAACTGCTTATATGGACCAGCCACCATTAATCTCTCCATGGCCAGCGATGGCCTTGGATTGAATGATTGACTCTCAGCGATCTAGGATTGGATAGGGAGGGAGAGAGTTTGGGGGAAAGGAAAAAGACTGACGTCAATTTGGGGGAGGACGAGAGGATTGGGACGTCGCTCGCTGCAGTGACCTCGAGTAGTAGACTAGGCGGTGAAAGCAAAATTACCAGCGGTGGAGCCAGATGTACACTTATTTTGGTAAAAAATTCTGGAGCCAGACGCATGCTTTTTGGCGGATGGAGGGACTACATGTTATATATTTTGATATAGTATAAAATCATTGTTTAAGTTACATGGGTTAGCCTCACATTAAATTGTATTGGTCCTCCTCCACTATGGCTGGCATCCTCATCCTAGTTCTAGCTCTCACCACATTTCTATTTACTTATGCAACTTTCACTGCTAGTCCTAACTTTCATGATATATATTCGTTGAGAATGGCTGGTCCAATCACATTCTGAATATGGAGTGAATTAGAATTAACATTTTTGTTTTTATAATAAACATTTATACTTATTACTACTTCCTTCGATTCATATTAGTTGTGGCTCAAACAGATTTATCTAGTAGTGAAATACATCTAGATATATTCATTTCAACTACAATTAATATGGATCACAGGGGTTTCATACAATCTCAGTTAGCATATATTTTTATTATTTCATTTTTATGCAAAAGTTTGTTATTTCAATTGACTATTTAATCATACACCAATGTCACAAAATATTATATTATTTGGTATACAGTTGTATTGCATATCGCTAAAATAATTGTTTCTTAAAAAGTGTTACTTTAAACTAAATTTTGACAGATTTATAAATTACGTATCCCCCCCCCCCTGCAGTGTGTGTGTATTCTAATATCATTAATTATCATGATATAGAGATTCTAAGCATAGAATATAATGAATATCTTAAATTTGATTTCTAATGTATTATTAGGTTGTCATATGTGTGGAATGTTGTGGAGTCTAAATTGACTTGTTGAAAAATATTTCTTGCAAGTTTAGTGCACCACAACATTTTTAATCTTATATCCAAGTGCATACAAAATAATTGATCACATTCGTTGCTTTGTGCTTGCAACAAAGATCAAGGGCTTCAATGAAGTCCCGTGTGATGAGCGCCGTTATCTACAGTATTCACTACACGTGCAACGTTGATATCAAGGATGTAGGGGTGTGAAAGGTGCTAGTGAACAATCCAATACATCATCGAGTACACGAGCAACATTGATATCAAGGATTTAGGGGTGAGAAAGGTGAAGTGGACATGGACAGCGGGTTTTCCTGCCTTGCTACAATCCTCTCTTCCTACTTTGTTAAGACTTGTTGGATTGATTATGGAGAAAATTCCTTATATAACACTATTTTAAATGTTGGTTCCTTATTTAACACTGGAAATTTTCTTCTTCCTTATCTAACATCATGTATAAAAAAAATTCCCCTATCTAACACTCCCGTCAGTTCTGTTAGCTAACACCGTTAAAACAGGCATGAAGTGATGTCAGTTTTCTTTAGCTGGACAAAAATGCCCCTGCCCATAAGCATGAAAAAAAAGAAAACACAACAGGACCGAACCGAACCGGGCATCTCTCTCGCGATCCACATCCCCTTCCCCGCTTCCCCTTTCTCAAACCCTAGCGATTGCGGGCGGCGGCGACGGCGGTGAACCTGCTAGCGGCGGCGGAGATTCGGCGTCATGGATGGCGGTGGTGCTGAGGATGGGGAAGGCACTGCGGAGGAAAGCCAGTGCGCGGCGGCGGAGGGGTCCGACCTTGGCGCCCCCGCGGATCCGGCGATGGCGAGCCTTGGCGACGGCGGTGGTCCGGAGGGGTCGGGCCAGCGCGCGGCTACGGTTGCGGAGGGGCCGGGTCAGCGCACGGCTTCGGCAGGAGGCGGTGTCTCGGCTGCAGCAATCACGGGCCAGGGTGGGGCATGGGCTGAGGGCTCAACCGCCGACGTGGCTGGAGGCTCAGGCCAAGGCATGGCTGGTTCGGGCTCGACAGCAGCTGTAGGCTCAGGCCAATACGCTGCTGAATCGGCCTCAGCAGCAGCTGCAGGGTCAGGCCAGGGTGCAGCTTGGTTGGCCTCCGCTACATGGGCGTGTCCAGATCGGTAAGTTCATGGCACTTAATGGATTTGTATGATGTTTGTACCACTAGCAATGATCAGAACTATCTAGCAATACTCATGCATAGTTTCTTCACTTAATTGTCTCTTGAATTCACAGGATGGATCCAAATTCAAGTTATTTGATAAAAATTGAATTGTTTGGCAACAAAAAAAAAGCTCGAAAAGACGTCCGATGTTTCTGTTTCGAGAAGATCATTGATTGTGACTTGACAAACTATAAGGATTTCATTGAATCAATTGTAGAGCAGTACTCTCCACGTTATTTGGAAGTTGCACATGTGCAGTACTATGATGATGCTCTAAAAATCTGTCCAGAAGTAAAATGTGACCAAGATTTAATGCTTATGTTTGAGAAACACTCGGAGACAAAGGTGGTGCGTATGATCATTGCATATTGTGATCCGTCTGAACCGTATGAGCCTATCACCGAGTGGCATAGTGATGCGCATAGCCAACCTAATAAAAATGTAGAACAAGAGGATGATACTTACCTTCGCAACCCAAGACCTGAGAATGAGCATGTTGGTGTTGATGAGGAGAATATGTATGAAGTGGATGAACCTATTCCCTTAAATGTGGTTCTTTGTCCTAATAAAGAGAAGGACAAAGACTATATTTGTGAGGATGATAGTGAGGCTAAGAGTGAAGTAGAGGATGATGAAGTAGAGGAGGTTGAAGTAGAGGAGGATGAGGAGTTGCATGAGGCAGAGCATACTCCACATGTAGAGTATGACAAATTAGACCCTCCAATGACAAAAGGCTTTACATATCCCAGCATGAAAGAGTTCAAGTTGGCACTTTCTCAGCATGCAATCAAACGTGAATTTGAGTATAACACCGAGTATAGTACCGGTCATCGGTTTAGGGGCTATTGTTCAAGACGGGATGCAGATAATTGTCCCTGGAGGATACATGCTTCTACAACATAAGATAAGTGTACCGTGATGGTAATTGTTTAACTTTACCCATTTGTGAACATTTCTTGCATAATTGTTAAGTATTTTTAGCTAATTACATCTGTTTTCTCTTTTGAAGGTGAAGAAAAACCCATGTGGTCATGATTGCTCTAGTACAAGAAGGAAAAAGAAGACGAAGAATGGAACCAAGCATTGGGTATGTGATAAGGTGAAGGATTGGCTGATTGAAGATGCAACTCTCGGAGCGAAGGCATTGCAGAAGAAGATTAAAGAACACCACAAGGTTGACCTCCACTACAAGAGAGTATATATGGGTAAGAAGCTAGCTCTGAAAGAATTGTATGGTGATTGGGATAGCAGCTTTGACAATTTGTATAGGTTTAAAGCACAAGTTGAAACCACTTGCCCTGGTAGCATAGTTCAGATTGATCATTACACTATAAAAGGAAAAATCAGGTTTAGAAGGTTCTTCTTTGCTTTGAAACCTTGCATAGACGGATTCCTTGGTGGGTGCAAGCCATATTTGGCAGTAGATAGCACATTCTTAACAGGCAGGTTCAAGGGGCAGCTGGCTAGTGCTACCGCTGTAGATGGCCATAATTGGATGTATCCACTTTGTTTTGGAATTTTTGATTCCGAAACAAATGAGAACTGGATTTGGTTCATGCAATTGCTTAGGCAAGCCATAGGATCACCAAGGGGTTTAGCCATAAGCACTGATGCTGGGCAGGCGGTGATGACAGGGGTAAAGGAAGTTTTCCCAGAAGTAGAACATAGGGAATGCATGTTTCACTTGGTGTCAAACTTCAAGAAAAAGTATCACGGAAAGGTATTTGATGACCATCTTTGGGCTGCTGCTTACTCATGGAATACATATATATTTGAGAAAAATTGGGTTGCAATGGAAACAGCAAAGCCAGCAGCAACTGCATATCTTAGGAAATGGCACACTAGGTTGTGGACTAGGAGTCAGTTCTCAACCATTTGTAAGGTGGACTATGTAACCAACAACCTGGCAGAGTGCTTCAATAATTGGATTAAGCACCACAAGTCTTTGAACTTGGACGACTTAATGGACAAGCTTAGGCAGATGATTATGATCATGTGGAATCGCCGGAGAAAAGTAGCAAAGAAGTTAGTTGGCTTAATTTTGCCCCACATAATTAAGAAGTTGAATGCAAAGAGTAGAGAGTTGAACTTGGAGGTGGTAGAAAGCTCGGAAGAAGTTGCTGAAGTTACTCAATTGGGAGGCAGCGGGTTTAGGTTTGTCGTCAACTTGCATGACAACACATGCTCTTGTAGACAATGGCAAGTTTCTGGCCTTCCTTGCAAACATGCTCTAGCATTCATCACATCACTTGTCAATGCCCATATACAGAATTATGTGGACTCGTATTACTCCATTGACAAGTTTAGAGCAGCTTATGGCCAACTAATCCCTGCTATGTGTGACAAGACCCAGTGGCCTAAATCTAACCATGGATTCTTCATGCATCCACCCTTGTTAAAAGCCGTAGCTGGTCGGCCCCAAACAGAGAGGCATAAGGGTTGTAGTGAGAAAAAGAGGAAAAGTGGCCAGCACTTATGCCCTATTTGTAAGGAATACGGGCACCATTGGCACAAGTGCAAGAAGGGGAACAAAGATGACATTGCTGCTTTGATGGAGTTGAGGTAATCAACTATGCATTCTACTTTCTTATGCATGTTAACTACTCTCTTGCATTACTGTTTTGTAATCAACTATGCATGTGAACTACTTTCTTATTGCTCATGTAGAGAACCACCAAAGAAGAGGAGGAAGACTACCAAATCAGCCGAGTCATCCATTGTGCCAAGAGGTGATGAAGCACCGGCAACCGCTATGTATTTTCCACCAAGGTTAGCAAATCTGAATTTAATTTGTGCCAAATGAAAACTGAGTTTGATTTGTGCCTAATGAAAACTGAGTGTGCATTCATCTAATCCACAGCCAAAGCTTAGAAATTACAACCAAGAAGAAAGGAAAACATAGCCAAACTTTGAAGACTACAAACAAGAAAAATGCAAAAGGGTGTAAAAGGTGATCTTTGCTAATTCTGAATTTTAATGTCACATACTATGCATAGTTCATATTGTTACTTGCTCTAAGACTATTGTTGCCATACATGTACAAGTGCAGATCAAGGAAGGGGAAGAAGATGGAGCTTGCTAAAAAGGATGAAAGTTGTCCTATGGTGCCACCATTCGACAGCCCCGCAATGAGCACAAGAAGCAAAAAAGCTAACCCAGCCAGCCCCGCAATGAGCACAAGGAGTAGAAGAAGACTTAGCTTGTGAACTAAATTTAATTTCTTTTAGTTAGAGTCACTTCTGTTGCTGCTCAAGTCATGTTGTGTGGACTTGGACTCATATGGGAACCTTATGTCACTTTTGTGTAGTCCATATCATGGACTTGGACTATGTACGCGAACCTGGACATGATGACAATCCTTTTGTGTTGCTCATATGATGTAGATTATGATGTATGTGTGGGATTGGACTCATATGTGATCATGTATATGTTGGAAGTGATATATGTATACTTGGATGGGGGCCTGTATGTTTATGTGCAAATCTGAATACTATTTGTTGAAATATATGTATATGTGAATTGTGTGATCTGGATGTGCATCAAATTACAGGGGAGGTTCTGCCCAAATTTTGAACTAAATTGTGAAAAAACTGTTGCTTTTTACTGTGGGAAGAATTTTGATCACAAGTTCATCAGGGGTAAAATCGTCTTCTCAGGTGTCATTTCACACCGTTAGAGGTCAAAATGGATGGAAATGTTATAAAGGGAACAAATTTTAGCATTGGTGTTACATAAGGAAGAAAAAGTTTTGCAGTGTCAAATAAGGCAAAAAAAATTAAGATAGTGTTAGATAAGGAATTCTCTCTTGATTATGTGAAGGACTGAAAAGTATCCTATTTTCCATTTTCCTACTTTCTAAGAGTTTTTATTCTTTGGGATTCCTTTCAAGAAAAACATGTTCTTGTTGTTCAGAAGCCATGTATGTTACTCCCTCCGTCCCATAATGTAAGACGTGTTAGCTTGCTAAAACGTCTTACATTATGGGACGGAGGGTGAAGTAGTGTACTAGGATTCCTAATGTTTATAAAGCAAAAAATGCTTCTTCTTCTCTAAAAAAAGATTCCTAATGTGTTACTGAGATTCATTAGTAGTAGTACAAGCTACAGTATAGATTTCTAATAAAGAAACAAGAGAGAGAGAGAGAGAGAGAGAGAGAGAGAGAGAGACTATCTGCATCTCGGTATAAAAATTCTATG